GGTCACGTTCATATATAACTTAAATACGTATATAATAAAGGAACTAGATGAAATAGTTAATATAGCAATCGAAAGCTTAAAAATTACTTACAATTTTAATTACATGTATGTGCTAGTATTTTGTGTATAGCATAAAATAAATGCGTTTAAAAGATGCAATGGGATAGCGTAATTAATTAACTAATCGAAAATTGAAAAAAATAATTTACATTTTAAATTATGTGCTAGTATTTTACATATATGCATACTGAAGTATAAAAAATGAAACTGGATGACAAAATTAATTTACTAATTGAAAGTTTTAATATTTTATAATTTTAATATTACAGCTAGTTTGAATGAAGTAGCTCAAGAGATGGACAATAAAGCAAAATATACCTATAATCATAATAACGCTTCGTTCTATGGTTCATCCAACCAAAATGACCATGACGATATAAATCATGAAGCCTTTGCTTCAGGCATCATATTTTGGAGAGTATTTATTTACTGTGTATTAATAGCAGCGACTGTTATTGGTAACGGTATCGTATTGTTTATATTTTATAAGAGGCCTAGTTTGCGTATTCCTGTTAATTTCTTCATCATTAATTTAGCAATTACCGATATTTTAACAGGCCTAACCAGACAACCAATTATTGTTATCGATTTGTTAAGTAGAGGAGAGTCATTTATTCATACAATCTGCGGCTTAAGTGGGGTAACGCTATGTGTATGTTATGTCGTCACAATCTTTACCTTGCTTGCAACAGCACTATGTCGCTATTTGGTTATTGTACGCTCTTACGGTAGGAAGTTATCGACGAAAGTTGTAGTAATAATTATGTCTTTTATCTGGGTTTATGGAACAATCGATTGCTTATTACCCATCTTTGGTTGGAATCGCTATGTGTACCAACCCGAAGAATACACTTGTTTACCTGATTGGCAAGATTCCAAAGGCGCCAGTTATATCATTTATATTCTTATCATAGATTCTTTAATCCCTTGGACAGTAACTGCAGTATGTTATACCGGTATTTATTTATTTATTAAAAAACATGTTCATCACATGCTTGGACATCTTCAAGCTAACACTCTTACAGTCCATCAACAATTACATTGCCAAGCATTACAAAGGGAAGTCAAAATTACTAAAGTCATGTTTCTTTATTTTCTAACATTTATTCTATGCTATATGCCATACTGCTTGACAATGTTTATTTTAGTTCCAAATAATTTCCACATTTCCCATCATTTGGTTTTTTTTGTTGGTTGCTTAATCAATTTGAATAGTGCAATTAACCCAGTATTATATGCTCTATCGTCAAAGAAATTTAGAAAAGCGTATAACGAGATATTTGGTCGTTTTAGTTTAAGATTATATGTTACTCATGCTATGTCTCGTCGAACAGCCATCATTCAGCCATTCCCTAATCCTTCCGGCCTTGATAAAATAAATGAACTTCAAAATATTGAGCAAAACATTTTTCAAGCTATTTCTGCTACTAGAATATTTCCGCAGCAAACTATATCCGGTACTGAACAATAATCAATCACTGATGGCCATAGTTCTCACTCTCTAAATACGATAACCATTCTCTCCTGAGACATTCCGTAGCTACCTATACACCTTTACATATGTAACAGTCTATACTAATACAGTATCTAGGCCAGATTTCACCATGACCACTCCATATGTCATATATTTCTTTTTCTATAGCTTTCTTGCACGTTTAATGTACAGGACATGAAAATTTTTTAAAAGATTTTACAGATTGTGTACTATCGGACACACGTAATCGCCTTGCATCAATCTAAATCGATATTGCCGCACTTCAAAACTTTATGATTTAGGAATATGATAGTTTTGAAAATCTATATTTATAACTTACGGTATACAAAAATTTACTATTGCATTATGCAGTAGAAATTAACGTGCTTAAAAATCGATAAACATGTGCTATAATCAGTTTATCGTCATGAAAATAATAGACTAAGTATAAATGTATATATCGAACATTATCGTGGGTACTTAATGTAAGCTTCAAAACGAACTTAAAATCTATTAACTAAATTTCGACGACTATAGATTTACTCTCATAAAAATTTATCTATGATATCACTACCGATATGAATTGTGTGGATGCTATTAGTTGTACTATATTGCTGCAATTAGCAGTGCGTCAAAAACAAGTAAAGGCTATTCATACTAAATTCAAAGCCATGAGTTTGAGATGGCCATAATGAATTGTATTATCAAAATTTTGATTCTGTTAAGCTCTTAGATTGAAGTTGTGATCATCTTATATTTGTCAATAGCATTTGCTTCAACTTCATCAATGCAATCTGTTTTTAAACCTTATAATACCGAAGGGAGGAATAGATTGCAAATGTTCTGAGTGAACTATTGGACAATAGCCCGTTAACTATCTTATGAAGAAAGGCATCGATATCCATATTAAGCACATGAAATGTTATACCACTGCTACTTTAAACGGAATAAAATCATAGCCATTCGATCTGTGAAAAATATGCTATTAGATGGAATTCAATATTGCCAGATTAATTTGAAAAAAGATTGAAGTTAGCAGCCTTAGTAGTTTTACATGAAAGTAAATCTTGTGTATAACAGATGATATTAGTTGTAAATAATTAATAATTTATATAATTTATATAATATAAAAGAGAAAATTGAGTAGTGCTATGAAATCCTACTAGATAGTTGTACCAAATAGATTGCTACAATAAATTTATCTTCCTCGATCACGTGCCTGTCTATGACCTTATGGGTTAGAATAATGACTGGATGTATACACATTGCAAGGTAGGAAATAGAACGCCACAAGAGACATTAATTATTTATTTTATTTTTAAAGACTGCACAACACCGTCCAGAATGTCCTACATTGACCATAATAACGTACAGTATATGCAGTATATACTTGTGACTACGATAAGCAATGTGCTGTAACTGTAACCACGCTGCGAATCACTATACAATAGCCTATCTGTTCCTATGATTACTCAGCATTCCTTTAAAGATACAAGCTCAAGTGCTAAATTTCCCTGTATACACTATAAATATGATGCAAATTAAGTACTTTTGGTAACATATGCAATTATGTATATCTGTTTAACCCAAGTGACTGCGCGCTGTCTTAGATCTATTAATGGTATTATAATGAAGTACAAAAATTTTAGCCGTAATTTGCTGCGAAATGCTAGAATAACGGTGGCGTAATAAATATAAATTAGATACGAATATGCTGTAGTGTTTTAGTAGACTATATAAGCAAATATCAGTAGCTTTGTGCTGATGAAATACTAAAGCTCCAGCAAAGTAGATGTTGTATGCATTTTACTGCGCAATCACCTTGGGAAGGGACAGAGATCGGAGACTTTTCTAGATTTATGCACGGTCTGTATAAAATCTGTACCGTTTTACGGTATTCTAGAATCATGACACAAGTGAGGTAATTTTAAGAAGCTAGATTTGAGAAATATCTTATTTGCAACTTTTTTACCGATCTCATATTGAAAAAGGACTAAAATTGCTAACCTTTCGTAATTAAATCTGGAAAGGTTACTGATCATGAAAATTATTATCAAGGTTTAATTTCAGTATTAGTAAGTATATTTCCCAATATTGTTAGGCTCTTTCTATGGAATTCACTGCTTCAAGAATATTTGTACGTGTATAAATACTTATTACTTTTAAAGTCAGGAAAACAAGAAGTAACGAATTTGAACAAATGATACTTTGATAAGGTTGTAGTAAATGTAATGGAGTTTCAACAATAAAATTTTATTTTGTATGCCCCAAAATTGAAACGATCTATTTAATTGTCACAAAACAGCTTTGCAACAAGACAACGCAATATACGATCAATAAGTCAATTCCTTGAACCACGTATCAAGGAACGATATTTGCACTATCACAAACACTTTTGCTCTACTAGCAGACTACACAAAGACTTAAACGCCTCGTATTTTACGTTAAACACTAAGTTGGAGAATTCTTCTTTATTTCACGATATACTGCATTTATATACTACTCCTCAATAGTTCATGAGTCATAGTTAATACAATTAACATTGGAATCATTTACTGAATTAGATATTAATTTTAGCTACTGCTCCCTTAATGCAGACAACAGTATTTACGAACATAGGCATGTAATGACTAATATAGAATAGTCAGATTACGATATGTCCTATCACGGAACATTTCCATGATAATTTACAGTCTAACATAAGTAAATTACAATCACAATGATTCGAACTGTAAGCAGATGATTTGCATTCCCTATTATAACTATTAATTTCAGTATGTGTATAAGTGTCACTGTCATAAAAAGTCAGTGCTATATTAAAACACAGTATATCCAAATTATAAGTTAACTAAATAAGGATAGTCTAACAGAATTATCCTAACATAGTTATTTCTACTGTAATACAGTATTTAACACTGTAACATTAATAAATTGCTATTTTTATCCGTATCCTAAAACAGTCACTCAATAATCTGTCTCCCAAATGCTGCGGATTAAATAGTTTAATACTTAAAATTATTGTCGAATATTACAGTAGCAACCTTAGATCACGTAAACTAAACACAGCTAGCTATCAAACTGAATTTTCTTCTGTCACATTCTGATTTAAGGCTATAGCTATCCCATTAAATTAATCACTAGTTGCACTCGACTATTTTATATATAGTACTGTAGACGCTATTCACTTACTACTATACTCATTTTTATAGGACTACAGCGAAAGCATAATCACTACCGGCAATTGTAGAAGACTAATGCAAAGTATAATGTCCAGATAACCCAACAAGAGGAATGCTTTAATAGGAATTTTGTTACTTAAGTACGTAAAGATTTTAAACAAGATGGATCTAACAAATTATTTTAGCAGGGTACCTTTAGTAGTAAAGATGTATAGTATATAGGATTTTCATTGAACTTGGCTAATAATTAATCGATAATCTAATAATTTTGCTACATTATGATATTATACTGTCTAATATCGTATCCACTTCAATAGTTAGGTCAAGGTTAGCAGTTAATAAATTATTTACTTTGTTTATTGAAGTGAAAATAGCTTAAAGCATTAGTTTATAAAACTAATTATGCAACAAACTGATTCATGATATGTTGATTCAAAACTATTCCATAAATACTTCATGAAAAATGTAATAGCTGAGAACTCAAATTCATCAAAAGCATTAAAAGTTAAGATAAAGTTCATGATTAGAGTTCTATCAAACCAAAAATTATTTCAAGAAATGAATCAACCGAGTACTCCCGATTTACTTTCATGATGACAGTTTTCGAAGAAGTCTATAATTGATTAAAGAAAAAATTTATAGATAAGAATTACTTCTTACTTCCAATGTGACCTATGGTTATATGGGTTAAATTTGTCCTAATCAAACTATTCTGACCATACGAGTTCACTGTTAGTAACATAGACATCTAATTATTGGCTAGAGTATCGAAATAAAGTCTAAATATATTATTGTGACTCATTCATGGAATCATTCTTCTTGTGTTATAGGCTACTAATATTAGGCCATTGCAACACGCTAGTACTCTAGAATTAAGTTTAATCCGTTTTACAAGTATTTCTTGAAATTGTTAAGATCATTCGATAAATATTGGATATTTGTTACAGGTTAAGCATTAATAATTTATGCAATTCTTGAGATAAATCTGCAAACCAATAAATTTATTCGCAGAAATTACTTGAAATACAAAATTATCTTTGGAATCGAGTGACCTAATTAAATTGGAATTGTAACTATTAAGAAATATTAAAAAACTTATCAATTTACAATATACTTGTATAAGGCTTATGTTGAAGCTATCGAAACGTAGCTGGTACCTTATACTGTATTTCGAATCACCATTACTTATTGGAAATACTAAGAAATTTTTAAAAACTTGGTTGCTCGAAGCAACGAGTCTCGAATAAAATATTACCAATATTACTTGTTGAGATTGGAAAGATTACAATATCATGATGTAAGTACGGTAGCTGATAGCTTTAATATTAAATTAATCATCCTAAATGCTTATTAGAGGGATAATTAGTCGATGAACTTAAAGAAATTTGCATGAGATAGGTGTTTGTATTTGTATCTTAGAATTATGATACTCTGTCACCTAAAGCTACATCTATCATTGTTATCCTTTCCAAAATTGTGGCAAATTGCCAATTATAAACTGTGCTTAATTTTCTTATTTAACTATATACAGTATCTACATATAACGGTATGAAATGTCCCGAAGGATATATTATAGGTATTTAATGAGTTTAATGTTATAGTGATTTAATTTCGATTAATTAGTTACAT